GCCTGCCCAACAGGACACCACACGGCTCCAGCCCTGCATGCCAGGGTGGGCAGAAGCCAGGGCCGGCGAGGCCGCTGGACGTGACCCTGGAGAGGGAAGCTGAGTTCCCGCCACGCGGGGCCGAGCGTGCAAGCCCCTGTCCCCTTCCTTCCTGACATGTCCTCACGGAGAGGCAAGAGGGGCAGAGGATGCCTGGCCCACTTACCTTGCAGCCCCCTGGGGGGCCAGGTCAGGGCCGCCCCTGAGGCATAAGCATGGGGCCTGGGTCAGGACCCGAGGGCAGCGGACAGCGTCCATCTGTGCCCTGAACACGGGAACACAGGCTTCGCCATTGCTTCGTCCTGCGGGGTTGGGGAAGCCGCCACTGTGTGATGGGCACGACTGGACCCAGCGCCACTCTGCTCTGAGTCCTCTCAGAAACACGCAGGGCCAGGGAAGGCGCTGCCCCTCCCAGGTGGCACCGTCCTGGTACACGAGGACCTTCCCAGGGGTGGGACGAGGCGGCAGTGGGCACCAGAAAGTACCTGCCACGTGAGCGCGCTTCCTGGGCAACTCGGGCACACACGGCCTGGGGGGCGCTTTCACCCTGTGAAGAACAAACAGCAAGGCGCCATGTAGGTTAGCTGTGCTGGAGGGTGAGGACCGGGATAACATCACGTTCCCCTCTCTATAGCTTGTGAAGTCTGAGGGTGTGGGCTGTTCTGGCCAGAAAGCGCAGAGAGCAGGGTCGAGGGGTGGTCTGAGGGCGCAGGCGCTGTGGGCGTCACCGCTTGTGCTCTTACTAGAGCCCAGAGTGAAAATGCAGCCGCTTCTTGTACCGGGGTAGTTCTCAGTCATGAGAGCGCTGAGCCACTGCTCTTGAAAGACGGTGCGTGAACCTGCACACGTGTGAAACGTGGATCATCCCTGATTCCTGGCCGCTCGTCCAGGGGGTCCTGTTTCTCCAGACAGACGCTAAGGGCTTAGCTGGGCCGGCCCTCTGGCAGGTGCCGGTCCAGCTGGCCCGGCAGAGACCCCGTCTGCGGATAGGCTCGCCCCGCCCACCTGGCTGGGAACACCCAGAAGCTGGGATTCCCGCCTCTCTGTGAGGTGTGGTTTGAGGTCACAGCACATCTGGTGGGTTGGGAATGCGCACCACCAGCCCCCAAGGACGAGGAGCAGGGTGCCGTAACGGCCAGCTGAGAAGAACCGGGAGCCACCGTGCACAGCGTGCGGCAGCGCAGGAAGGGTTGGAGCAGCGCGGGCACCTGCGGCTGATCCAACGGGTTGCCCCTCTGCGTTGCCTCGTCAGACTTGCTGTTCTGCCAGCTGTCGGCTCAAGGCCCCAAGGCTTCCTGCCTTCACCTGCCCGAAACCCCACTGGTGGGTCCGCCGCGGAGGAGCGAGCGGTCTGCACTTCCCCGCACCGGCGCCAGGGGGCAGAGGAAGCCCGCGGTTGGCGCCGCCCTGGGACCAGCAGGCTGCGCAGGACTCTCCCGCTGTTCGGTTTTTAGGGCTGGAAAAACACAGGGAGACCACGGTGCGCCTGTCAGTTAGGAAAATCAAGCAAGACAGCTTTGGAAGCACGGACGACCCTGAGACAGCGGATGAGGGCAGGGCAGGCAGAGAAGGCCTCAGGTTGCGCCCCCATCTTCCCCCTCCCCGCCTGCTCCCACCTACTACCTCGCCTGTGTATCTGTGTCTTTGAAAATAGGAAGGCATGCAAATTCACCTTTTAACTTTTATGTCCATAGCCTTAATCACTATGCCACCTGCTGGGCCTAAAACTTCACTTTTTCTTTTTTGAGACATTTTTGCTATAAGGGCGCATGCACTTGCCAGAAAGACAAAGACAGAGAGACAGAAAGCGAGAAATCACCTCCCCCCCCCCGGGGGGGGGGGATGGCCACACCGCAATCCCTTCTCCTCCATTCTCCTCTTGGGATCTTGGCCATGCATGCACATGTGCCCGGTGTGAGTTTAAGCCACTGGGTCCAGGACTCGAACCACGGTCGACTACGTGGGAGTCCAGCGACATAGCCATTACACCAACTGCTGGTCCCCCCACATTTTACTTTTAAAATGTGGCAGGAGCCTGCTGCACATTGGCCTGGAGTGCAGAGCACCTAGGTAGACAGGAGCTAACCCTGGGTGGCCCCTGGACGCTGGAGAGGGGGTGCTGAGACAGGCCCCCAGCGCCTGCACCC